TAGAAAACAGCACTAACCTACCCCCAACACAAAACTAAACAATGCACCCCCATATATATATATATATTGATACAGTTGTGGCCAAAATTATTCAACCCCCAATGCTGTAAAGGGGTTTAGGGACTATAGTGTACATTTGGAATTGTATTCAGAATCAAATCCTACAAGGACGTTGTAACTACCCAAATGCAACTAAAATGACATCAATTGTTTATGTAATACAGTAGTAAATGGTTCTTATGTGGTTTCTTCATTGCCACAATTATTCAACCCCTTAAAGACTACCACTCTGAAGAACAGAGGTTCATACAGGTGCTTTCCATCAGGTATTGAAAACACCTGTGGATGTCACCGAGCAGCAAATCAAGCATAATAAGCACCAATTAGGCAGCTTTAAAATGACTGTGATACTCAGCTCCTTCTAGACATTTACTGGTGTGGTTACAAACATGGTGAAGGCAAGAGAATGGTCCAGGAAGACAAGAGAAGAGGTGATTTCTCTTCACAGGAAGGGCAATGGCTATAAGAAGATTGCAAAGATGTTAAACATACCAAGAGACACCTTAGGAAGCATCATTCGCAAATTCAAGGCAAAGGGCACTGTTGAAACGCTACCTGGTCGTGGCAGAAAGAAGATGCTGACTTCGACTGCTGTGCGCTACCTGAAGCGTAGAGTGGAGAGAAGTCCCCGTGTGACTGCTGAGGAACTGAGAAAAGATTTGTCAGATGTGGGTACAGAAGTTTCAGCCCAGACAATAAGACGCACACTGCGTAATGAAGGCCTCCGTGCCAGAACTCCCAGGCGTACCCCCTTGCTGTCTCCAAAGAATAAGAAGAGTCGACTGCAGTATGCCAAAAGCCATGTGGACAAACCACAAAAGTTGTGGGATAGTGTTCTGTGGACTGATGAAACAAAATTAGAACTGTTTGGGCCCATGGATCAACGCTATGTTTGGAGGAGGAAGAACAAGGCCTATGATGAAAAGAACACCTTGCCTACTGTGAAGCATGGTGGAGGGTCAATCATGCTTTGGGGCTGTTTTGCTTCTGCAGGTACAGGGAAGCTTCAGCGTGTGCAAGGTACCATGAATTCTCTTCAGTACCAGGAGATATTTGGATGGAAACGTGATGCAGTCCGTCACACACCTGAGGCTTGGGAGACGTTGGACCTTTCAACAGGACAATGATCCAAAGCATACCTCCAAGTCCACTAGAGCATGGTTGCAGAGGAAAGGCTGGAACATTTTGGAGTGGCCATCGCAGTCACCAGACTTAAATCCGATTGAGAACCTCTGGTGGGACTTAAAGAAAGCAGTTGCAGTGCGCAAGCCTAAGAATGTGACTGAACTGGAGGCCTTTGCCCATGAAGAATGGGCGAAGATACCCGTAGATCGCTGCAAGACACTTGTGTCAAGCTATGCTTCACGTTTAAAAGCTGTTTATAACTGTAAAAGGATGCTGTACTAAGTACTAAGATTGAATGTCACTTGGGGTTTGAATAAAAACTGATAATGCTGTGAGCACAGAAAAGACATTTGTGGTTATTTCATTATAACTGTTATGTTATATTTGTCTGACCTACAAGTGCCTCTTTAATGTAAATGTAAGCAAGATGACTGAATGATCAAAAGCAATGTCAAACTGGCCAAAACACTCAATTTCAGTGGGGGTTGAATAATTTTGGCCACAACTGTATATATATATATATATATATAATATATATATATATATATAATTACTATATATACCATAAATTGCAGTCATATAACCCTTGACTGCTCAAACTATATAACTTAAAATGCTTCCTATATAACCACTATTGCAAGTAGATGTGCAAAATAATCAGCAATTGAAAATATATAAAATTACACAAAATGTTGAAAAAGTGCGGCTGTGCAATAAACAATCAAATCATACAAATCATATAACCACTTCTACAAGTAAATGTGAAAAATACAACAATCAAGTGTGTGAAGTATTAAACAAAGTGCTACTGTGCAATAAATATTCAAATCCTACAATTCAACAATCGCAACTTAAAGTAAAATCCACTACAATTGTATTGCGTGATCCAACACACGCACACACACACACACACACATATATATATATATATATATATATATATATATATATAAAAGAATGTCCACCATAAATAACAAGATGAGTTCGCCTTCATATGGCTGTGTTAATCAAGTTGCTCAAAATCACCCATGGAGATTAGACGGGACAGGTTTACAGCCTGCTAGGCAGCTTTTTAGAAATGTTTCATTTATTCTATGAATTTGTATATTAGATTGTTAATGATGTTAATGATCAGTATAAAAGAGCGTGGGAGGTGACGCATATCCTTCTGCCCCTGGAGGATGTCGAATGACGAAACGTGTAGGGTAAGGCCTGGATGTACTTCATCGTGCATGGTGGATCGTAGTTTGCGGCTGGAGACATCAGCAGGATTTGATCCTTTTCTGAGATTGCATGTTATACTAGTGTCAGTGGCAACACTCAGAAATGTGAGTTTTATGGAATATATTTTTTAAAAAAGATCTTTTATAAATTTACGCTATGGGAGTTTTTCCTTTCTTTACTGATCCATGTGACCTTATGAGACACAAAGGAAACACTCAGCAGAAAGGTTGAAACAAGGAGTGTTTCTTGGCTGCGGGTCCTTGAGAAGGGTGCCTGAGAGGAGAACAGTTTTGTCTGCAGGTTCCACGCATTTACACCTGGGTTATAATGTTACCAGCCTGGAGCTCTGGGGAGTTCATTTAATTCATGCGGTGGTGGAAAAACACACAATCTTTTTTTGGTGGTGCATGATAAGAAGATACACGAAGTTTGCTATTTATGGTGGACATTCTTTTATATACATATATGTTGGCTCATGCAATACAATTATCATAGTGAATTTTACTTTAAGTTGAGATATGAATTGTAGGATTTGAATATTTTTTGCACAGAAGCACTTTGTTCAATACTTCACATACTTGACTGTTGTATTTTTCACTTTTATTTGTAGAAGTGGTTATATGAATTATATGATTTGATTATTTATTGCACAGCAGCACTTTTTCAACATTTTGTGTATTTTTATATATTTCAATTGTTGATTATTTTGCACATCTATTTGCAATAGTGGTTATATAAGAGGGGTTTAAGTTATATAGTTTGAGCAGACAAGTATTATATGACTGCACTTTATGGTATATATAGCAATTATATATATATATACAGTGGGGATCAAAAGTTTGGGCACCCCAGCTAAAAATTTGTATTAATGTGCATAAAGAAGCCAAGGAAAGATGGAAAAATCTCCAAAAGGCATCAAATTACAGATTAGACATTCTTATAATATGTCAACAAAAGTTAGATTTTATTTCCATCATTTACACTTTCAAAATAACAGAAAACAAAAAAATGGCATCTGCAAAAGTTTGGGCACCCTGCAGAATTTATAGCATGCACTGCCCCTTTGCCAAGCGGAGACCTGCCAGTGTCATGGATTGTTCTCAATCATCGTCTGGGAGACCAAGTGATGTCAATCTCAAAGGTTTTAAATGCCCAGACTCATCTGACCTTGCCCCAACAATCAGCACCATGGGTTCTTCTAAGCAGTTGTCTAGAAAACTGAAACTGAAAATAGTTGACGCTCACAAAGCTGGAGAAGGCTATAAGAAGATAGCAAAGCGTTTTCAGATGTCAATATCCTCTGTTCGGAATGTAATTGAGAAATGGCAGTCATCAAGAACAGTGGAAGTTAAAGCAAGATCTGGAAGACCAAGAAAAATATCAGACAGAACAGCTCGCAGGATTGTGAGAAAAACAATTCAAAACCCACGTTTGACTGCACGATCCCTCCAGAAAGATCTGGCAGACACTGGAGTTGTGGTACACTATTCCACTATAAAGAGATACTTGTACAAATATGGTCTTCATGGAAGAGTCATCAGAAGAAAACCTCTTCTACGTCCTCACCACAAAAATCATCGTTTGAACTTTGCAAATGAACATATAGACAAGCCTGATGCATTTTGGAAACAAGTTCTGTGGACCGATGAGGTTAAAATTGAACTTTTTGGCCGGAATGAGCAAAGGTACGTTTGGAGAAGAAGGGGCACAGAATTTAATGAAAAGAACCTCTGTCCAACTGTTAAGCATGGAGTTGGATCAATCATGCTTTGGGGTTGTGTTGCAGCCAGTGGCACAGGGAACATCTCACGAGTAGAAGGAAAAATGGATTCAATAAAATGTCAGCAAATTTTGGAAGGTAACTTGATGCCATCTGTGAAAAAGCTGAAGTTAGAGGATGGCTTCTACAAATGGATAATGATGCTAAACACACCTCGAAATCCACGGGGGATTACATCAAGAGGCGTAAACTGAAGGTTTTGCCATGGCCTTCACAATCTCCTGACCTCAACATAATTGAAAATCTATGGATAGACCTTAAAAGAGCAGTGCGTGACAGACAGCCCAGAAATCTCAAAGAACTGGAAGACTTTTGTAAGGAAGAATGGGCAAAGATACCTCAAACAAGAATTGAAAGACTCTTGGCTGGCTACAAAAAGCATTTACAAGCTGTGATACTTGCCAAAGGGGGCAGTACAAGATATTAACTCTGCAGGGTGCCCAAACTTTTGCAGACGTCATTTTTTTGTTTTCGGTTATTTTGAAAGTGTAAATGATGGAAATAAAATCTAACTTTTGTTGACATATTATAAGAATGTCTAATCTGTAATTTGATGCCTTTTGGAGATTTTTCCATCTTTCCTTGGCTTCTTTATGCACATTAATACTAATTTTTAGCTGGGGTGCCCAAACTTTCGATCCCCACTGTATATATATATGGTGCGTTGTTTTGTTTGTGCTGGGGGTAGGTTAGCGCTGTTTTCTATATATTTCCTGCACATTGTTTGGTACACTACCAAAAAAGATAGCTGTTTCCCTATTAAAACGAGAGACCTCTGGTGGTAATCTATGGCACAGTTCGGTGATATTCCCTCTTTTTTTTCTCTTTTTTTATTACCTGCTGTAATGCCTATGAAATTTGTTGGCCTTGGACCAGGGGCGGACTGACCATTTGGAAACTCGGGCACTGCCCGAGGGCCTGGAGTCAGTAGGGGGCCCCATGAGATGCCCTTGGTACCTTTTTCATAGGCTTTTTTGAGTTTGGGCAAGGACACAGGGGCCCCATGATCCCCTATTGCTCGGGGGCCCCATGAGTTTTCAGTCCGCCCCTGCCTTGGACCCTTTGTTTCTTGGGTAATTTTTACAATAATGCATTGTCGCCAAAATGCCAGGGGCATGAGAAGTGACATGATGTAATTTCTTTAGCCAAAGGAACAGAGTCACAAGATATTCTGCTGAGAGCAAGATAAAACCTTGTTTATGGAATGAACCGTGTATATGACATCTAGTAACCTCACATTAGGAGACAAAAACCTGTTTAAGGACATCTAAGTTAGAAATCCTTAAGTCTGGGGGAGATGAAAAGAGGTTTTGGGGTAGATAAGAAGCAAAAGTGTGACTTTTCAGATAACGAATATGGTGGTTGAACGTGACTGTTATCCCCGCGGAACCCTTCTGCTAGCCACTCCTGTGGTGGGTGTGGCACCGCCCACTATTGGATCGCTTCCAGAAAAAGGGTTTATAACGCGGAGGTTCGGGCAAGACCAGTAGAATCTCTCCTAGTGGCCAGAGGACGCTCTGACGCTGGGATTTTTACCAAGGCTATATGGGCCCATAGTCTGGTCGTGCCTATGGCTTCTCCGTGACCCCCTGGGAAGTTTGGTTCCAATGGGATTTGTTCCTCCCAGCTTCCACATAGCTTTGGTAATGTATTAATTCTATGCTGTGACACTGTCAAATGATGTGTCTATTTCATGCTGTAATGCTCACATTATTATTGGTGTGTGTTATTATGCAGATTGCAATGACTAAGATATATCCTCCTGGGTGTCGTGTGATAATAAACAGTGAATATTGCAGTTGGATTCTGTTATTTCTTGGAGTGCCGGGTGAATGCTGTGATGTGCCAGGGCAGGTATTCATTTGGTAGATTGTCTTTTACAATGCGTAGAACATGTAATGGTTTAAATGCTGATTAAAAGTACCTGCATGACTGCATGTTGATTGTGTGCGTGTATATAACTTGTTTTTAGTAATTGCACCCAGCATCACTATTACACCTGCCATTTGAGGCATTGAAGTATCCAGCTGGTGAAGAGGTAACAACAATAGGTGCCAAAAAAGAGATTTGACCAGGTCCTTTGGTGACCACAAAGCGCAATATGACTTTTCTTGTTATATAACAAGGTGGTCATTGCAGTCTGGTGAGTGCAGAGTGTTTATAATCACACGTGGTGGAATTGTAACAAATAGTGTAAGTGGATATCAACATTTTCTTCCCTTTTGGACTTTCCTTATATATTCACAGTTGGATTCTGAGGAGCACATATTTTTTGGCCTTTGCACAATTAGAGTAATATGATATCATGAGAAATATGTTTTTTTTAATGAACACATTTATATTATACAATATTTGTACATATTGCTAAGAGGTAGAAAGCACAATTGGTTATATATATATTTATTAAGATCTAAAAGATAAGAGATAGCAGCTGCATTTATATGGTATTATTTAGCGTGTGTGGTTATTGTATATTATAGCACGTACGTGTATGTGCCAGCCGGGCAAAGCTGCAGCAGCCCTGTACTGTGCAGTTGCAGGCTGGGCACAGTATCAGCCATCAGAAAGATAGCAGCTCCAACTGGCCCCACAACACCAGCAGCCCCCACTGCACTGGCCAGGCACAGCGCCAGTGTTCCTACGGGTGTCACAAGGCGCGCTTGCAAGGAGAGAGAAAAAGCATTATATGGACGAAGCTAAATGTAAAGGACAGTTTTACTTTTTGGGCTTAATACTACTTTAACTAGTTGCAGACTTTGTACAGGCTACACACACCCAAATAATTGTACAATTGTACACAGAACATGTTAAGCACGTCCAGTCACTCTGCCTGTTGGCCAGGATCCCCCCTCCTAGTAAAGCACTATATTGGCTTGGATTAATCATGGTTTAGCATGGTTGTGTACACAGAGAAAGTTGCCAGCTTTAGCTGTCAAAAAAAAGCAGCCAGACAGTGTTTGTAACACATATGTTCAGACACTACAGAAAAAATACAATGTAACATATTGTTACATTTGTATCATTCTGTTCATTCAGATACAGATCAAAGGGATACGCTTGATCTACAGAGGATATCAGTTAAAGCAAACTGTCAAGCAAAAAATGTTTTTTTTTTTTTTTTTTAAATAAAATGTCCCTCTGTTTAACCCCTTTAACCACGCTGTAGCCATCTTTCAGCTATGGCGCAGTTGGCAAGCGGCTAACTAACTCCTTATTCTCCTTCTCCATTAATTTATTATTTTCTCTATTTTAATAATCATTATTATTTAAACTTTTTTTTTGTTTTTGTTTTTGTTTTGTTCATGATGTTTACACCTTTTATATATATTTATACATTTACAAAAAGTGCAAAGTTGAAAAAAATAACACTTTATTTTATTTTTTTTAAATAACTTGCAATGCTTTGTACCAAAATCATACTTTCTTTGTAATTTTAAACAGGACAAATTACAGAATACTATTTATTTTAAAACTAACACTGCTGAGAAAAAAAAAGAAAAAGTGTAATTTGTTCAGTTTTGTTGTTTAATTGTCTAAGGTTTGCGAAAAAATTATTGCTGCAAGACAATATGATGAAAAGAAAGCCTTGTTTGTCCTTAAAAAAAACAATATATGTATTGCTTTGTTATTTACAGTAAAGTAATGACAAAGTTATTGCCAAACAAAGAGGTCCATTGCAGAATTGTAAAAATTGCTCTGGTCTATAGGGGGTGAACAGGTGTGAGAGGTGAAGGGATTAAAGAGAACTACGAAACCAACAGGAAGAAATGTCTGATAATTTATCTGATCTGTGGAACAGAACTGTGCAATGCATAACTGTTGCTGATAAAACATGCAGTAATGTAGAGCAACTAGGAAATCTACATTTAAGTCATTTGTCCAGGATCCTTACATCCCACCTCTGCAAGAACTTGATCCAATGATCAGATGGCTAGACCGTCAAACATCAGACTGTGTTAGATGACTTAAAACTGTCCATATAAGCCAGACAAGATCTTTAATCTTGTGTGGAAGACATTAGAGCAAATTTACAGCGACCCTAAAGTAATATAATTTGCCTTGTTAAGATGTGCCATCATCTTAACTGCAGGAACCCAGCCATGACAGCTTGTGGCTTCACAGCCGGGTGCCCACTGCACATGCACAAGCCGCTCTGCGCATTGTGAATTGCCCCGCTTTAAGCTGCCTGTGGATGGTGCCAAGTTATGCCAATGCATATATCAGTCATTGAAATAAACTACTGGCAGAGTCAATTCTTCCAAGTTACATAACTAGTTAAATAAAGATCACATATTTGTAGTTTCATGTGATTATAGGAAAAGTATTATTGCATAATCTACACTTTGAAGACAAAGAAAACACTCCAAGCAACTGGGAAACATAGCTGAAAAGCACAGGTCAGGAGACAGATACAAGACAATCTCTCAGTCACTGATTGGACTAAGGTGTCCGTTTGTGAACCAGAGGTAATAGATCGCTGCTCAGTTCTCCGGCATTCTCGGAGAACAAAGTTCTCCTGTGAATGCAGTTTATGAAGCAGTTCTCCGAACGAAGGGAGAACGGCTTCCAAACGCTGGATAACGGTCTACAAACTCTGAAAAACGGCTCATTTTACTATAATCTCTCCAGATTATAGTAAAAGACCAGTTTACTAAGCAGAGGTAAATTATCTCTGCTTAGTTTTCGGTCCCTCTGATTCTCCAGCTCTGGGCTGGAGAATCTGGACGGAGAACACAGATCTCCAGAGAAGGGCTGACAGGATCTCCTACAGTTGTGACCAAAATTATTCAACCCCCAATGCTGTAAAGGGGTTTAGGGACTATAGTGTACATTTGGAATTGTATTCAGAATCAAATCCTACAAGGACGTTGTAACTACCCAAATGCAACTAAAATGACATCAATTGTTTATGTAATACAGTAGTAAATGGTTCTTATGTGGTTTCTTCATTGCCACAATTATTCAACCCCTTAAAGACTACCACTCTGAAGAACAGAGGTTCATACAGGTGCTTTCCATCAGGTATTGAAAACACCTGTGGATGTCACCGAGCAGCAATCAAGCATAATAAGCACCAATTAGGCAGCTTTAAAATGACTGTGATACTCAGCTCCTTCTAGACATTTACTGGTGTGGTTACAAACATGGTGAAGGCAAGAGAATGGTCCAGGAAGACAAGAGAAGAGGTGATTTCTCTTCACAGGAAGGGCAATGGCTATAAGAAGATTGCAAAGATGTTAAACATACCAAGAGACACCTTAGGAAGCATCATTCGCAAATTCAAGGCAAAGGGCACTGTTGAAACGCTACCTGGTCGTGGCAGAAAGAAGATGCTGACTTCGACTGCTGTGCGCTACCTGAAGCGTAGAGTGGAGAGAAGTCCCCTGTGTGACTGCTGAGGAACTGAGAAAAGATTTGTCAGATGTGGGTACAGAAGTTTCAGCCCAGACAATAAGACGCACACTGCGTAATGAAGGCCTCCGTGCCAGAACTCCCAGGCGTACCCCCTTGCTGTCTCCAAAGAATAAGAAGAGTCGACTGCAGTATGCCAAAAGCCATGTGGACAAACCACAAAAGTTGTGGGATAGTGTTCTGTGGACTGATGAAACAAAATTAGAACTGTTTGGGCCCATGGATCAACGCTATGTTTGGAGGAGGAAGAACACGGCCTATGATGAAAAGAACACCTTGCCTACTGTGAAGCATGGTGGAGGGTCAATCATGCTTTGGGGCTGTTTTGCTTCTGCAGGTACAGGGAAGCTTCAGCGTGTGCAAGGTACCATGAATTCTCTTCAGTACCAGGAGATATTGGATGGAAACGTGATGCAGTCCGTCACACACCTGAGGCTTGGGAGACGTTGGACCTTTCAACAGGACAATGATCCCAAGCATACCTCCAAGTCCACTAGAGCATGGTTGCAGAGGAAAGGCTGGAACATTTTGGAGTGGCCATCGCAGTCACCAGACTTAAATCCGATTGAGAACCTCTGGTGGGACTTAAAGAAAGCAGTTTGCAG